CCGATGTCTCTTCTTCCAAACAATTCCAAAACAGTGAAAAGAAAGAAAAATTTATCATATTTTCAAAAAACTAGTTTTTGACAGCAACTTGGCTAACACTAGACCTATAAGCCTTATTGAACATATCAAGAAGCTTTATACCAAGCTTCTTACCAACTATTTTAACAAGATTCTTTCTAAAAATGAAATTCTATCCCCCTTCAACTATGTTGCTCTACCAGGCAACTCCACTTTTATCTCAATCCATATCCTCAACAATGTTATAGAAGATGCAATATGCTATTCCAACCAGCTTTGAATTCTTTCACAAGACATGAATAAAGTCTATAACTCAGTCAACTTTAATCTATTTTAAAAATCTCTACAAAGAATCAGCATGCCTTAACATTCTTACTAATCTTCTTTCAGACCACTCTAACAGAGTTATTACTAACTTTGGCTTTACTAATTACTATGTAGTTCAGAATGGAATTGACTAGAGTGAAACTATCACTCCACTTTTTTGACGAATTTATTATAATCCACTTATTTCAAATATATCACTATATCTACCTGGATATACTATGCAAATATTTTGGCAGTCTAGTCTTACTCTACCCTCCACTAAGTGATTACAATACTCAATATCAGTGCTCATCTATGTGGATGACACATTTTGGATAGCCTAATTTAAAAACAATTTGAAAAAAATAATAGAAACAGCTTCATCATTTTACAACATAGCCAATATCCAAATTAACCTCTCTAAATCTATTTTCATATCCAACCAAACAACAGCCAGTATTTCATTTTTACAAACAAATCTAGTATCAATACCTCTTAATTAGCCTTTCAAGTTTCTAGGATGCTGGTTTATACTTAACAATAAAACATACCAAACAGATCAAACTAATTCAAGAGAAAGCTCAACCTGGTATATACAGCTAGCACCAAAAAGATAACAGATAAGCAAATAACCTACATTATCAGTACAGTCATAATTTCAACAGTAGAATACAGAATTCATATCATTGTTATCCTATAAACAATATGTTTTAAAATATTAGGCACATACCTTACTATTGCCAAGTATAAAGCCCATCTAGCCAGTCAATCCCTAATAGCACAATGCTTAATCCAGTGGTTCAAATTGGATTATTTTGGTACCATTCGAATAGTCTCGAGGAGAGGAGTCAAATGGTATCAAAATCATTTGATTTGGATTACTATATTATATTTTATTAATGAAATACTATTGGTTATTATGTTTTCTTATAAAATTACTATAAAATCAATAGTGTTTTGTTAATAAAACGTTATCCAATAGTTCAAATAAAATAATTTTAGTACCATTGGATTCGTCTCACTGAGACGAATCGAATGGTACCAAAATTATCCTGATTGGATCACTAAGTCATAATATATCCAAGTTTTTGTAAAATTTTATATATAAACATATGGATTTTTAAAAATTTTTTATATATAGTACCAGACAGCAAAAATATGCATTTTTTTTTAGGCCGCCAAATTTGAAAATTTTATAACAATTCTGATTGGCTAATTTTTGTGTAACAAAATTTTGATTGGTTAAAAATATAAAATTGATTTTTTTATATAATAGGCGCCAAATTTTAAATTTTTAATAATAAATATTAACCAATCAAACTACAAGCACGTGTTTTGCATCAATCTGATTGGTCGATTGTCCTGCGCCAAATTTCTGCTTTACTATTAAAGTTGCTAAACTTTAAACTCTTATAACTTCTTTAAAAAGCAAGATATCAAAAATCTGTCTTACAGATTTGTAGTTTAGGTTACAAATAAAAAATTTGTAAGAGGAATTTTTAAAATAATTATTTGTTGTGAAGTTATTAGATTTTAAACAATGCTGAAAAAAATATATAGTTTTTGCTATTCGGTACTGTAGTTTAGAGAAGGGGTTAAGAGCTACTATGTAGGGGTATATAACATTATATATAGATGTCTCCTTATGTATGATCTCTAATCATATTGAGCACTTTTAGTTTAAGTTTAGTGATTATTCATTGATTTAATTGGCCTAGGTATTTGATATGAGCTATTCACATTTCATTTAACTTTTTATTTAATTACACAGGTTGAATAAATAAATATTGAGTGTATACAGGAAGTCAAGTTTTCTGATATGTACCAGATAGTCTCCTATATGTCTGCCTAAATACTTGCTAAATATCAGCAGCATTTTGGCAGTATATTGGTAAAATATCAATCCATATAATAACTATTTTATTGTATTGTATCTGACGTACAATCTCATGCTGATAAGTAAATGAAAAAAGCACATGTTGTTACATAAAACTTGTGCAATAAAAACTATTTCTGTATTATAATTGCTTTACAGGTTATTGTAACAATAATGTCAGCATTATTAAATTTCATTTGAATGCTAATCAATATATTTAGTGTCAATAATTCTTGACAAGAAGTATAAAAAAGTCACTATATATCAATTAGACTTTTATAATAAACATATTGCAGTATATATAAAAAGAAGATCAACAAAAGTTCTTCTAAACAATTCATTTTCATAGCGGTCAATTTTTTAAAGTTAGATAATGCAATGTATATGTGATAATATATTTCAGAATTGCTACTATGCTACATAAAATAGTCGAGTCAGGTCGGGTCAGTCAGGTTTGGATTAGACCCGAATTTGATAAAAAATTTTTGTACTGGGTTGGGTTCGGGTCGGGTTTTAATCGAGTCCGAGTCAAGTTTAAATAAACCTGATCCAACCCAACCTGTTCTGTGCCCTAGTTTTTAGGTTAACAAGATTTCTCTTTTATTATTTAATTCTCTTTTAAACACTAATACAAGTAAACTTTATATTTTAGAATTATACTCAAGCTTATCTGCAACCAAACAATGCAAAATATCTGCAAGTCATAAATCTGTTATTTACAAGTCTAAAACCTTTTTCTTTTTATAGTTTTAATTTTTCCTGGGGTTTTTAATTCTCATTACATATTTTATTGCCGGCTAAAGGTTATTGTCCTTACTGAGAGTTATTATCCCTTGTTGAGGGTTATTAGCTACATGTTAATCCTCTTCCAAAATAAGAACTATAAAAGAAAAATATAATAATAATAAAATAAAATAAATATATAATAAAAAAAATATTGATAATAATATACAACTAATAATAAACAAAAAAATTTTTGCATAATATTATCCCTTTCTTGAAGGATGAGCTTTTGCAAATCACTAAAGCAATACAGCAGTCAATTCTTCTTGTCTTCATATCTGAGCTACAGTTAACAATTGATTAGCAAAATCCTCATTATAGATCTTGTTGAGGATAGTTATATTAATATGTTCTACCAGGTTTAAATACTCTTTTCCACATGCTGTGAATAATTAATAAGCTCTTTTCAAGATTTTCCATACTGTCTTCTCTTTTCTTTTGCAAAATGTGATTTAAATTTTCTTTGAAATACATCACTCTACCCTTTTTCAGCCATAATATTTCCTATTTTATAATAAGTTTTCAAAACTCGAGCATTCAACATTTTATACACATCCAACTCGAGTATTTCTTGGCTGGAATTAGCTAATCTTTCATTCCAATCTGTTTCAGGAGTTTTGAAGAGAAAAATAGAGTCAGTTGGATTTCCATAATTTAAGTCTTGTAGGTAAATAAACATACTTTCATTAATTTTTTTAGCTTTTTAATATAAGAATATATTTGGAAACTTCCTGAATTGAAGTTTGAAGAGTAACTCAGTCTTGATTTATAATTACTAGTTCATCATGTTCTAAAGCAGTGGCCAATCTTTAAACCAGATTCCTAATAGTTTCAAGTCTTTGTTTCATTTTTTTTTTATTTGGTTTAATTGTCTTTTAATAAATGTCTTTTCTCAGATTCAAGATAAAATTTCTGACCCTTTTTATAGGTTTAGTTTTTTTTTATTTATTTATTTATTTATCTATTTATTAATGAGTTTTAGAAGAAAATAGTATGGCATCTTAATCAACAAATAGTTTTAGCAAGTTATTATGCACACTTTTTTCTAACACTTTGCTTTCTATTATTTGCAATTTATAAGTTCTATTCCCAATTATTTCATGAATTCAATAAGGCTCAAGCCATTTTGGCTCTAGCTTTTCACTTTTTCGAGCATCAAGTTTGGCCCTATACCTCCATACCTTATTGCCAATGGAGTAACTATATAAGGTATATCAACTATTATAATAAGTTTTCTGTTTCTCTTGTGAATATTTTATATTTTCTAATATTATGGCTTATCCTTATTTTAAATTATCTATAAGGGTTACTATTCTGTTTATTATAATTAACTGCATCTTTTTTTTATTTATTTCTTCAGTAGAATATGTAATTATGTCTAATTCAACAGGTAATCTAGCTTCTTTACTATAGACTAGGTAAAAAGATTCATATTGCATAGTGTTATGACATATTGTATAATAAGTAAATAGTGCTAGTTAAACAAACTTATCCTAGTCTTCTTCATATTGGATTATATATTTAGATAATATTTCATACAAAGTTTGGTTAAACCTTTTACCTAACTGTTCATCTGCAGATAATAGGTTGATGATATTATGTGTTTAATTTCTAAGTCTTTACAAAGACCTTCTATTACTTTATTATTAAAATGTGTGTTTTAATCCGAAATTATTTCTTTGGAGCACCTATGTCTCCCAATAATGTTATCTACTATAAAAGAAGCTACAGATTCAGCCTTACAATTAGGCAATGCTCGCACTTTGGCTATTTAGAAAAAAACTTCATTACCATGATCAAATATTTATTACCCTTCTTAGTCTTAGATAACAAACTAACAAAGTCAATTCTGACTTGATCAAATAATGAAGCTGACCTTATAGAATATAAAGGTTCATGTGAAATTAGTTTTTCTCTTTGTTGACAAACTTTACAGTCTTTCAACTAATTTTTTATATCTAAGATCATTTGGTTCTAATAATATCTTTTAGAAATCTTTCGTATTGTTGCTTTTTTTCTAAATATCTCCAATAGCACTTCTGTGTGTTGCTTCTAAAACAATTTCAACTTCTTTCTGTTGTACTACTCTTAAAGGGTTTTTTAGCTCTTTTTTATTTTTCTTATATAATATACCTTCCCATACTATAAAATATAGCATGGTGGACATTTGTTTTAATTGGTTAAAAAATGTAAACAAAAAAGTAAACAAATAAACAATATGCATAATGT